GTTTTTTTTTTTTTTTTTTTGCTTCTTCCCCCATGGCACCATGGTGCTACATTTTCTGTGCAGCAAAGAGAGCAGCACAAACATGGAGGTCAATGCACTGTTTACGCGTATGCACGGTTGCTGGGGGCTCATGTTTATGGCCTAGGCTGCACGTCCGCCAACTTCGCATTTGTCGTATGCTGCACCTGTCATGTACATTCGTATCCTCCCCTGTTTATATCTTGCATAGAACGTTCTATGGTTCACGCGGAAGCGTGCACGCAAAATAATGCTTTCCGAATACTGATGCCGTCACTTAAGGTATAAAAACCCTGCTTCCCGCTCGCGTTATTTTTCCCTTGCTCCCCCACCTCAAAAGTACGCAAAAAAAAAAAAAAAAAAAAGTGCAGCAACACGCACGTGGCACTCTTTTGACGCACCCTTCCCGCAAAACGGAAAATACTCTCGTTCGCGTTCAGGCACATTCCACAAGTTCACATGACACGACAACATCAAAAGATGCCACATATCGATTGAGTCAATTTTTTTTTCTTACTTTTCACTCCAAATAAAACTCTTCAAAATGACAATGAAAATAAGTACACAAAAAAAAGTACGCACCATTGCTTTGTATCAAGAAAGGGGAACAGTTTTCACCTGACCAGGCAGGTAAAAAGGCACTCTTTTGATAAAAAAAAAAAAAATATATTATGGCTACCTGCCCCTTTGTGAATATTCTCCTTCCCCCCGCATTTATATGCTTAAAAAGGCGATAACACATTGGGCAAATGGCCAAACGGAATTGCATACGTACATTGTCCTTTATAATCTAACGTCAAAAATGGCGTCGTGTGGATGGCGGATTTAAGAGGGTGGGGGAAATAAAAAATAAGACTATGAATAAATTTATATATACTTGTATGCCCTCGAAGAGGGTATATCCTCTTACATTGTATGAAGCAGTCGCCACCCTTTTCCGCTGGACAATGGGATAAATGGCAGTTAACGGCGGGTATATACTCCTCACCCACCGCGCACGCCGAACTGCTTCGGTGTGTAACAGAGCAAACTCTGCGCATTCGAATGAACGAATTGAAAAATTAAGTGGCATAGGACCACCAACACAGTTCAATAATAGGTAAATATGGACAAGTATGCATTCGCGCGGGGCAAAAATGTCCTGTAGGAGCTCCGCCGTAAAAGTGGCACGTAAAAAAAGGGAACCAACAGGGGCTTGGAAAAATTACCCCACGTCGTTCTCCACCCGTTCTGCAAAAATGTGGATCAAGTGTATCACAAGAGGGTTGAAAAGGAAGCGTCTATCTTTATGCAGCATACGGGCTGAAGGTGTTTTTTGTTTTTTTGCATGTCCTTCCCATGCGTGTATGTACATGGCATTCTGCAAACGTGTGTACCTACTTGCGTACCCAATTGTGTGTGCATTTTTCTTTTCCTTACGGTGATGCGACGCGAGGCCGCCCAAAATGCAAATTGTGCAAGTCGAACAAAATGTGTGCGCTCCTGTTCATGCCCCATGCAAGGTGACATCATTTTTAGTCCCCTGTGGGATACGCGAGAGTAATTTCGCCCCACGTCCGCCCCATACACACTACGTCCCACTTTTATGAGTTTTTCCACTGATGAGAGGATTAATACATGAATTAGCCAAGTTTTATTTTTTTTTTTTAAATTAATACATAACATGAAAAAAAAAAAAAATATAGAGAGTCAACATTTGTATGTACAACAATTTTTATACATGAACATCTGTGCGTGTACATGTTTGTCATGTTCATGTGTGCACAAAATGGAAGGGAAAAGTGGCAGGACGCCATTTAATTGGTGTGTAGTATGTTGTTCTTACAATTCGTTAAAAAATTGGGGAAAAGGGGACAAGGGTACACAAATGCGCCCATGATGGGCTTATGTTCACCTCCCCGTTTTTTCGTGCCGTGTTTTCGTGTGGGTCGTTTTAATGGGCACAATGATGTTGATTTATGTTCTTCGAAAAGTGGTGCTTGTGGCGATGTTCCCTCTGACAGGGCCGCCTGTCCATGTGGTGGCCCATTTCCTCCCCCCCAGGTCGCGTGGCCAACACTTAGAAGTCCTCGTCCAGGACGATCTGTCTCTCTCCGTAAATATCCTCCGTCTTCTTGACCGATTCCGCCTTCTGGTTCTCGCTCACCACGACCTGCAGTGGGAAGAAAGAAAAATAATAATAAAATAAAATAATAACAAAAACAAAACTGTGACACAGTCCGCTGGAATGCCACCCAAATGGACGGGCGCGACTCACAGCACGTAAGATCCCCAAGTGGGGAAAAAGCCAAACGAGCGTACCTTATTAAACTCAGGCCAGGTGAAGGGGTACTTGGCATTAAAATACTTGGGGTGCTTCAAATTAACCAGCATGGTATCCGCTAGGTACTGTAGAAAAGATTTCACCTGCTCCTTTTTTATTTTCAAAACGGACAGGTCCAGCATCTCTATGGAAAACTGATACTCCAGCTCCACAGCCGTTTTGAAGTATTCCAAAAGGCTTTCATATTTTAATTTGTTGTTCAAATGGTTGCAACACATAACGGAGAAGTCTCCATGCAGGTATTCATCCCGGTGAATTTTCTCATGGACATTACACAAACAGGGAAGGATGCCATTCTCCTTACAATATCCAATGAGGATATTTAACGCGCCGTTGAAAAGAACTTTGGATATGTAGATAAGGACGAGTTTGTTGTAAAAGGGTATATTTTTTTCGAACAATTCAGTTAGCCATTTTTGTTTTTTCAATACACTGTCTAGCTGTATGACTTTGTTAATGACATCCCGTTTTTGCTTGGAGTCTGGGATGTATGTTTCGAAGATGCATGCGTACACTTCGTCGTGGATATTTTCCATGCACATTTGGAAACCGTAAAAGGCGCGTCCCTCCGGGATCTGAATGATGTCCAGCATTTTGCTCGTGATCAGCGCTTGCTCTTCGTATACGTGGAGATCCCTGTGGGGGAGCAGTGGTTAGCGGTGCGTGATGTGGTTGACAACATGTAAGTTAGTCACATCGGGCATGCACCCTATGCCTTAACCAAGCGCTTGGTAACGTGCCAAGGATTATTCTACTCCGCTGCGCTACGATGCGCTATGATGCGACACGATGCGCATCGATGCCTCTCTGATTCGCCTTACTTTAGGCTGTAGAAACACATCATCTCGAACAGCTTCATGAGCATGCTGTTGTCAAGACTCTCCAGGAACTTCTTGTCCTTATCAAAGTTGTAGTCCTCGGCCGTCCAGAAGAGGGATTCTACCTCTTTGTAGTAACTCTACAAAAGGGGAGCAACCACAGAACGGGTGACGCAAATCTCACATAAAAAAAAATGCACAGAACAAACTAGCACGTGCAACATGGAGACATATATACCAGTCAGGGGGGTTTCCCCTGTTTGGAAAACCTACCCAGAACGTTTTGTACTTGATGGGGAACATAACCTACAAAGGGGAATAAAAAGAAAAGGGAGGCGGATTCACATTATTGAAAATACCTTTGCCTGTCTCCACGTGTGCATTTTCACAGCGATATGTACACCTGTGTTACATGATGTGCGGTTCCACGTTGAGCTTCCCCTGCCCTGTTTCCACCTGGCCACTTACCCATCTAAACTGGTTCTCCTTCAAAATGTCATCATTGTTTTGGGCATCCAGCAGAACTTCCTGATCGTGATAATGCTCTTTGTCCATTTTGGTAACCCGCTAAAAAGTTATGCTCCTTGGTCAACGTTGAGTATGTGTTCTAACAAAATTGCGGAAAATAAAACAAGGCTGTACGTGTAAAAAAAAAAAAAAAAAAAAAAAAAAAGGAAAAACAGGAAAAAAGAGAGAAAACGCGAAAGCGGAAGAGACACTACTTTTTTACAATAACAATATTTCCACTTAAACGTTTCTCCAAATGGTTATTCTTCCCGTTTAAAACATTTGCTCAAACATTTTGCATTTTTAAAATGCGTGCGTTTTTACTTCTCATTTGTGCATACAAAATGTGGGCATCCATTCACACGCATGCACAGTACGTGGAACATTAGCATCATCCCCTTCGCGAGCTCATTCCATGTTCATCCTGCGTGTTTCACATGTGTACGTGCTTACATAAACTTCGCTCGCTTGGAAAAAAAAAAAAAAAAATTCACTGCGCCACTTCAACACGTTCCTTACTTTTCCTACTCAAAGCTTCACACAAAAAAATTGAAGCGGCACAAATGGACTCGGGGAAAGAGAAATTCTCGCAAGGCGGAAGCAGTGAGAGCTTCTCCAACTTCGCGCTAACATATATGCACGCGTGCTCTAGTGCGAGCATAAATGCATGCTTACTTTCACACTCTTCTTTTTTGTGTCAAGAGCACGTATTGGCGGGGAAGCAAAACGAGCAGCGCACAATGTCTAAAATGCCTGCTGCATGCTGCCACGAGCACGTATGGCATATGTGCTGCATGTACGTTGGAGCGCTGGGTACTCTAGCCCGGATGAAATTGGAGAAGCGGCGAAGCAAAGCCGCAACATGAAATACACATCCAGGGAAGAGTAGTACCGCTACCACATCCTCCTACGCATTTCCCCACACAAACGTCGCACAGCGCGAGAAAGCACGTACATATCTAGAGTGCCTATTTTTACATTTACCAATTAGTGTCTAGCACAGAGTAAGTACATGTTTTTGTCGTCCCAAATGCGCACCACAATAAAATGAAGGAAATTCCACAAGTATTTCACTTGTGATCATCCACACTTTGAGAGGGGAAAAAAAAAAAAAATCGCAAATGTGATAACCTGCTTTGCAAATATAGCATAGATTAAACATTCCACAAACACACTCATCAACTTGGAGAAAAATAAGTTGACACGGTTAAGGGATAGGAAAAATGATTCTTCGTAATACGCTCAAAGGTGCAATTGCTTTTTTAAAAATTACACATATTTTGAACTTAACACAAGTGTGAAAAAAAAAAAAAATAAAATAAATAAAAGCTCCATTTCGACTGTGATAATCAAATTGTTAATTGTTCCTCTCGTTGGTTTTTCACATTTGTTTTTTCACATGGTAGTATTCTGCGCCTCTTTTCGCTTCACCTCTGGTCGATGCCTAAACTGCCACAAACACAACAGGATATCGTTTAGGCATCTACAAAAACATGAATCACGACTTGGTAACAAACGGGTGCGATAACTATGAGGAACTTCTTCACACAAATGTAAAAGGTTCATTTTGTTACAGCATCGTTTTATATATATAGGCACTGTGGAAATGCCATGTGCATATGTGCAAAGGCATGTGATGCTCCCATACATGGTGGATGCCCCACACTTGCCATTTTCCAACGCACGCATGATACGGCCTGTGCTCAGTTTTTCCCGCGTGGAAAAATTGCAAAGCGCTTGGTTTTTACGTTCAAAAGAAACGTGCATATATATATATATATATTTTTTTTTTCCTTTCCCGTCCACATGATCCGCTAGACATTGAACAGCACGTGCTCCAACTGAAAAGCGCCGCACACGCGGATGATAATGCATTGGCAGAAATCAACAAGCTCTGCGACAGAAGCATCCACCTGAAGGATTCGCTGTCCAATGTGTATTTCCAGTTCCTTAAGCACAGTTCGGTCGTGATATACGAAAAGGTGTGTTCAAAGCGGCATCCTTTTGCCAATGCACACGAACGACCCGCTGTTACAAACCACTCTATTGTGTGCCTCTTTTCCATTTCCTCCAGAAACTAAAAGAACTGATAAAAGAAATCGAGTCTTTAAAACATGCGTTCATTCAAAATAAAAACAAAGAACAGTTCCAAGTTCTCAATGTAAACTACGACGACAGTTTTTTCCTTCCCGAGGATGACTCCGCCGAGAATGAAGATGAAAGCACACAACTGAACGACGACTGTGTTGACTTAAACCAACACAAGCTATCCTTCAAGGATGTTCATAATGAAAGGTAGAGCCCAAAAGTGTTCCCGTAGTTACCGCGCTAAACCAAAGCGGCTTAAAAAAAAAAAAAAAAAAAAAAAACAATGAACCCCCTTTCACTAGCAACTTATTTCCCTAACTGTGAGAGCAGGATAGTAAGAGGCCTCGGAGAAACCGAATGTTCAAGTCTACTTCTGGATAATCTAGTACAAACAAGAAAAAAAAAAAAAAAAAAGACAAATAAAACAACACACCGTCAAGTACTCTTCCACGCTACAATTAGTCTAAAAACGTTTATTTTTACCTGAACAGGTCAACTGCGAAGTTGTAATACTCGATGTCCTAAGTTCGGTGTTAATACGGAGAATTAAAAACTGCACCATTTGGTAAGGTCGAAGGGGTTCTCTTAAAAGAATTTGTGTTCCCCCAAATGAGCGCCTTTCATAATGTACCCCCAAACAATTTTTTTTTTTTTGCAACCCCACTCGCTATTTACACTTTCGCGTTATTCAGGGTCGCGGCGGTGGAGTCCTCTGTTCTAATATATAACTGTGTGGACTGCAATATATTGACTAATTCGAAGCAAGTTAAGATAATAAACACACAAATGTGTATATGTATGCGTAGATGGACATATGCACGTGCGCACACTTCTTATGCAAAATATTTTTCTCCTTAGGAGCACCTCTCTCGCGCACACAATGCACACACATATGATGTAACACACGTTTGTTTTTTTCCACTGCCCCTTTTTACAGATAAGAATACATGACAGCAGCGAAACGAATTTCTACATTAACTCAGTGAGTTCTCCCATCATAGAAAAGTACACAAAGAAGATTATCCAAAACGCTAATAGGGCAGCTTTCAATTTGTTGTGCGTATGCGTTTGTGATTTTTTTTTTTTTTTTACATTGCGCCTGTTCATATTTTTTTTTTTTTTTTTTTCCTTATTACTACTTTTAGCTCGAAACAGCTAGCTTTTTTCCCGTACATTTTGAATTACGATGGCTTGTCAGAATTATTAAAAAAAATTAACATAAGGACAGATTCGACCCAATGGATGAAGATTTTAGATTTCAACTGGCAAAACACACAGGTGTTTAAAAGGCAAAAAGGGACAGTATTTCCTAATTAATAAAAAAAAAACGCTTCTTAAAAAAAGAAGCAAAAAAAAAAAAAAAAAAAAAAAAAAAAAAAAAAAAAAAAAAAAAAAAAAAAAAAAAAAAAAAAAAAAAAACATAATACACCTACTATTTCCCTTTTAATCAAACAAACACTTTAGGAAAAGTCTCCCAACTTTCGCATATCAGAAGACGCGCAGATGTATTACATAAAAATAGGGAACAGGGCTTTCACGAAAACTGACCAAGACGGGGTAACAGGTGGCCTATACTTGGTAGAAAATTTCCCCGAATTTTTAAAAAAGGTAGATTAAAAGGAAATGTGTTCCAGGGCGTATCGCCACGGTGTGTCACCATTGCAAAGGTGGAAGAGGAAGGGAAAGGTACCTTTTCTACACCTTTCCAACAAGTTATTTTTTTAAGTATCTCTTTTGCGAATCCGCCTCTCATTGTGTAAAATCACGACCAACGAATTAGGGCATAATGGAAAGAAGAAAAGATAGCAAAATTGGTTTAAGTGAGCCGAATGCACATGTGCGTTATGCACCTCGTTTAAGAAGGGTTAAATTGTACATTTTGACTAATGTTATTTTAATTTTTTTTTGTTTCTTTTCTGCGCTGGTGATATACATTTATATATATACATACCCCACAGCATCGCACCGCATCGCGTGTAGGCCCTCCTTTTTTCCCCGTGTAAACTACTCACAAATGGGTCAAACACTTTAGCTGAATTTTATTCTTCCTTCAGTATCATACATGTAAAACATAGATAATGTGCTAATCAGTTTGTGGCAGCCACTTAATGATAACATAAACAAGCCAGGTGAAAGGTGCAGTCCCCCCGCCTTACTTCTGCCACGGTGTTGTGTTCATATACTATTTGATAAACCATTAGGGTAAATTTTATGCACCCAACAACACGGGACCATGAGTAACCACATTTTAAAAAAAAAAATCCATTTGCGCCTGATGAGATGAGCGCGTGTCACGCATAAAGCGCCAAAAAAAAAAAGAGAGAAAAAAAAAAATGAATAAATGAACAAACTCACATGTAACAAAAAATGAAATATTTCAAAATAAAGCATAAAACATGAAAGAAAAAAAATACATAAAATAAAAAATAACGTCAATAACACTTTTACGTGCAACAACAAAACAACAACACTCTGCATTTCCCCCCCTGTTTTTTTTTTTTAATTTTTCGCATTACCAATTCAGCTCCTCACCAATTGTGTATACGAAAAGGCAACCGTGCATTTTCATCGTTTCTTCGATTTGCTTGACTGACTCACCTTTTTACCAAGTTAACAAACACCCCCCTGTGTAGCCTCTATTTGAAGGTGTATCCCCCCGTGACGTGGTCCCAAGCGTTGTATTACATCACACGGGAGATACAAAACAAATAGGCATATAACGGGAAGGAAAAAAAAAAAACAAAAAAAAAAAAACTCACAACTTCAGTTCAGTGTAAAAGCCGTGCAAAATGCTATCTACACTCCGCGGAAAAGTTATTAGCAACAGCGGCTGCACGAAGAAAGGTGTTTCGATTTTAAACGCTATTCAGAGGAGGAATATATCGAAGGACACACGATTTGGTAGCGATGCCAGAACTGCTATGCTCACAGGTAAGAAATGCGTCATGAGGAGAGGAACGCGCAATTATGATGTGTTGGTTGCTTTTTGCCCCGTATAGGTATTGGCGCACGACGATACGCAGGCATGTGTACGTGTGTGCGCTAGTCCGAGTTACCATTACCTGTATTCTGTACATCACCACATATTATCACCTAATCACTTCTTCACTGTTACACCTCCCAGGATGCAACAAGCTGGCCGACGCCGTGAGTGTGACGCTGGGGCCCAAGGGGCGCAACGTGATCATCGAGCAGTCTTTCGGGTCACCAAAAATCACCAAGGATGGAGTGACCGTGGCAAAGAGCATCGAATTTAACAACAAGCTGGCAAACCTCGGTGCGCAAATGGTAAAGCAAGTAGCAGCCAACACAAATGACAAGGCAGGAGATGGAACAACAACAGCCACCATCCTAGCCAGGTCGATATTTCAACAAGGATGCAAAGCTGTAGACTCAGGAATGAACCCAATGGATTTGTTAAGAGGAATAAACAAGGGAGTAGAAAGGGTTCTGGAATATTTAAATTCAATAAAAAAAGATGTAACAACAACTGAAGAAATATTTAACGTAGCTAGCATTTCAGCCAACGGTGATAAAAACATAGGCCAACTCATAGCAGACACCATGAAAAGGGTTGGAAAGGAAGGCACGATAACTGTTACGGAGGGAAAAACTTTACACCATGAACTCGAAATTGTAGAAGGAATCAAATTTGATAGAGGTTATATTTCACCATATTTTATTAACAATAGTAAAGATCAAAAGGTAGAATTAGACAAACCATATATCCTAATACATGAGAAAAAAATTTCCAGTGTTAAATCATTACTACCTATTTTGGAACATGTGTTACAAAACCAGTCCTCTTTATTAGTAATTGCAGAGGACGTTGATAGTGACGCCTTGGCCACGCTGATAGTGAACAAGCTAAGATTAGGGTTGAAAATATGTGCTGTTAAAGCCCCTGGATTTGGTGAGCACAGAAAGGCCCTTGTACACGATATTGCTGTAATGACAGGAGCAAAAGTGGTAACGGAAGAAGCAGGACTGAAATTAGACGACCCGGATGTTGTGTCCTATTTAGGAAAAGCCAAGTCAATTAACGTAACGAAGGATAGTACCCTTATTATGGAGGGAGAAGGGAAAAAGGAAGAAATTAATGAAAGATGTGAAAGTATAAGAAATGCCATTAAATCAAATACTTCAGATTATGAAAAGGAAAAATTACAAGAACGATTGGCCAAAATAACTGGTGGAGTGGCTCTGATCAAAGTTGGAGGTATAAGTGAAGTAGAAGTGAACGAAATTAAAGACAGAATACAAGACGCTCTATGTGCAACGAAAGCTGCTGTGGAAGAAGGAATCGTCCCTGGGGGAGGAAGTGCATTATTATTTGCTTCCAAAGAATTAGATTCGGTGCAAACGGATAATTATGACCAAAGAGTCGGTGTAAATATTATTAAAGATGCTTGTAAGGCACCCATCAAACAAATTGCAGAGAATGCAGGACATGAAGGATCAGTAGTTGCTGGAAATATTTTAAAAGAAAAAAATCATAACATCGGATTTAATGCCCAGGAAGGAAAATATGTAAATATGATTGAGTCTGGTATTATCGATCCAACCAAGGTTGTCAAGACAGCCATTTCGGATGCAGCTTCTATTGCTTCCCTTATGACCACCACTGAGGTAGCCATTGTCGATTTTAAGGACACCAAGACGGACGAGAACAACTCACACATGAACTCGGTAAATTCGATGGGAGAGATGGGAGGCATGTACTAAAACGCGCAAGCACTGCACCCTCAAGAGAAGTGATACAGGTATCCCCTAAGTGATGCGTATACTCCGCGAGCGTGGCATGTCCACGTCCTCACCAAGGGGTGGGGTTCAAACCTGTGTGTGATGCGTACCCATAATGACAGGCGAACGGGTGTGGCAGAAAGCGGTTCATACTGCTTTTACTCCCCTTTGCATGCTCAACTGCACAAATTGTTCGAATGAACAAATACACCAAGGAAAAAAAACACGACACGACATTCTGTAAAGACGAAAATGTAAACATTTTGTGGAGACTCATTTTTGGCGTGTTTCCCGCTGTTCACACCTTTCGCCAGTAACACTTCAGAAAAGGGTACCATTTATTATTTTTTATTTTAACACATCTTCATAGTTATGTGAAAAAAAAAAAAAAATTCTTCTTTTTTTTTTTTTTCGTCTATAAGGATGTTTCCTATTTTTACAGCTAGCTCAAGTGTTACTTTTAAACAAGTGCCCCATTTATTAAATTCTTTTTTTTTTTCCTATTTTTGCACTTACCCTTTTTTTTTAACCTCGCGCATGCAGTTATTTATTGTACTCTCCAAACTTTTCCGTGTTGTCATTCTTTAACTGTATAGTCCATTTTGACGCTTCCCCGAGGGTGTGGCGCACATCGTTGCCGGTGCTGCCCACGTGGTAAAGCGAAAAGGGTTAGCTGTAAAACATATTAACCTTTTCTGAGTTAAAAAAGATATGATCTGAATTACCGTTTAGAGGTCCATTTGGTAGGACAACGCAAAACTTGGAAAATGTCCCTGTTTGAGCGTTCCCCCAAGTGAGTCACCGCCCTCATATCCTACACAGTTGGGCGCATTTAGGAGAAGCGCTTTCCCCATTGAGTAACCCTTTCCAGGAAAATGTGACATGGAAAGCAGCTTCGAGCAGCGTCGAACTGAGGTAACTACTGAAGGGCACCCCGCGTGAGCCAAACGTAACTCTGAAGGAGGGGGGAGTGCCATTTCATTCTTATCGTAGGCGAAATGTTCTTGCGGTGGACCCGCCACCTTGAAGCAGCAGTGCACTTGGCAAAACGACTGTGTGGAAAGGGCATGTAAGCATCTATGTGTATGATACCTCGCAAATGCCCCCACAGGAACGTAAAATATGAAAGTGCTTGACTGGGGAAAAAAAAAACAAAAAAAAAAAGTGAAAAAGGAATGCAGCTCTCTTTGCTAGTGTGCCCCCGCCGAAACCATAAAAGCACCACGTCCTAGGGTGAATTCCCAGTAATCCTTACCCCAACACACAAATGTGAAGAAGGACCATTTGGCCTAAGAAATGAACGTTAAAAAATGTTCCACCCTTTTTTCACACCTGCTAAGAGAAAAAGGGCAAATGCCCGTTTGCGCCTTTCACCCGTTGAGTAATAATTTGCAAAGAATTTACAAAGTACGTTGTAGGAGGTTCCATTCCTCTTGCGAGCTTGGTACCAGCGAACAGAACAGGAGAGGAGAGGGCCAGATATGCCAAGTCGATAAGAAAATACAGCTCACTGGTGTTAAGCTAGCTGACACTTTGCATGACTATATAAGTAGTGACGACTCGGATGGGGAGGAATTATCACAACAGAAGGTAGAAGTGTGTCGTTCTACTCATACATATGATGGGGGGGAACTTCAAAACGGAATGGAAAAGGCAGAGTGTCATAAGGATTATGAAGACAATTGCGCCGAATCCAATTCAAGCCTTAACAGTGGGGGAACCAAATGGGGGTATCCTGGTGCCGGGGAGAACCATTTGGATAACCTAGACGAAGCGGCGAAAAAACGCGTTAAGACCCTGAGCGATGCCAACAGCAGTTGTACGATTGTGCAGGGGGGGCTTTCTAACGAGTTAGGAGCCACCATGGGGAAGGAAAAACCCAGTGGTGATATGCAGCATGCGGAGATGAAGTCGTACTTGAATCGGTACATACGAAGGGAACGTGAAGTTGAATGCGGTGCGAGGAGTCACCCCCCTGGAGATCACCCCCCAAGTGCCCTGGACGCAGAACTGAGCAAACTGGAAGTTGTCCTGAGGCCCTCCCAAAACGATGTTAACAGCATAAAAACGTTCCTTGCCTTCCTGCAGAGGGAAATAAATAAGCATTACAAGAATTGCCATGTAACACCCTTTGGGTCTATCATCAACGGATTCTGGACCCGAAACAGCGACATAGATATATGCATTCAAATCCCGATACTGCTCAGCAGGAAGGACCAAATAACATTTCTAAAAAAAATCTGCCTAATATTGAACAATTTTAATGATGGAATAATTGAGCAGAGATTTTCTGCAAAAGTGCCCATCATTCATTTTTATTGTAAAAATTTAAGACACTCATTTGAGCTGTCCTGTGACATATCGGTAAATAATATCCTTGCCGTGGTCAACTCTAAGTTGATTCAAAAATATGTAAGCATAGATAAAAGACTGCAACTAATGGGAATTGCGTTAAAGCATTGGTCGAAGAATAGAAATATAAATGACAGATCGAAAGGATTTTTATCGTCCTTTTCTTTAATTTTAATGATAATTCATTTTTTGCAATATGTGACCGAGCCAAAAATACTTACCTCTCTTCAAGACATCTCTGTCAAAAGAAATGAAAAACCGTTTTATGTCATGGGTGTTGATTGTAAATTTTGCCAGGATGAAAATGTCATTCGAGAAGAGCTGCGCAGAATTAATAACTACAACGATGTGTATGTAGACACGTCAACCTTGCTCATTGAGTTCTTTAAATTTTTTGGATACAAATACAAAAGTGGCATAATTGCCATCCGAGACATAAACGATTATTATAAGAACTTTCAAGCCGTAAGAAGTTACGAGTCCTACTTCCTGTTCGTGGACAACCCCTTTGAAGTGGGCAAAAACGTGGCCAACGTCATGCCCCAGAACTACAAAACTATTGTCAACGAAATGAAGCGCGCCTATAAAATATTGAAAAATAACGGCTCCTGGAGGGACGTGTGCGCGGCGGACCATGTTTTCGTGTAGCGCGGGGGGAGGGTCTTCGTGCGTGCATGTACAGCTATTTGATTTTGCTATTTTATAATTTTGCGATTTTATTTTATTTTTTTTTTTTTTTACCTGTCTGTTCATGCAAAAATTGCATTAAACGAGAAACGAGGCACAAAATGGCTAGCTGTGGAGAATAGCGCGCGAAAAAAAAAAACAAAAAAAATAGTTAGCTAGGTAGCAGCAGCCAACTAGCAAAACTACTCGCCTTTAAATCTGCACACACACCCTTCCAGATCTTCCAAAAACGGGAAGGCACCCATCGTAACTTTCATATATAACACCCCTCTTCGTTGTCACTTCGACGAAAAAAGCAAATTGTTGGAAAATGCCGCATATGGACTGGCTGCCCAGCACATGACGGCAATATACGAATGTGTCAAATGAGTTAATGATGCGGTGTGCATGGATCGCTACCACCCGTTTTCCCACTAAACCGCATGAATACGGTGCAGGTAAAAATTAAAAAAAAAAAAAAAAAAAAAAAAAATCATTCATCGAGAATAATAACCTCGCTACCTTTATTCACGCTGTCTAATTCATTCGTATTGTGAAAAAAGTCAGACTGAAAAAACCCTTCCGTCAAATCGATCAGTTCGTTCCTATTTCTTTTATTTATGGCATTCGAGCGTTGATCCGTTTGTTTGAAAAGTTCGTTGCTCCTCATCCCAGCAAAGTTCTTTCCCACTGGGTCTTGCGCCTCATAATATGTGCGTTCTACATGTTGCAGCGCCTCACCCATTTGATGTTCACGACTCGGCGAATGCACTCTTGTGTACCGGTTGCCCATCATCCAGTTTTCGTTCTCTCCCCTTGCATGCGCTGTTAAACCGTTCTTCTCTTCCCAATCATTTGTATCCATGGGATAATGAGCCATGCGCCCAAAGTTGCCATATTGGTTGCTAAACTGGATGGTATCTCCTCTGTTTCTATTGCTTCCATGTTTAAAGTGGCCACTCCAGTCTCCTCCTACAGCATCGCTGAATCTTTGATAACCTGTGTCTTCCAGTTCGTTGCTGACACGTTTGTACATCGTTTCCTTTGACCAATAAATGGCCCCCTCCTTCTTATCGTAATATTCGTTCATCCTTGGATAATCTTGGCCAGAGTTTCGCGCATAATTGTCGTAATATTTTGTGGGATATTGCCAATCGTTATCCTTATTGTAGAAGTAGATTCTCTCTTTTTCGAAGCCGCTCCTGTTCTGCATTGTGTGCATAGAGGTGGTGTGTTCACTCGGGTATCTCTCCCTGTAGTTACGATCACCTATGCTAAAATTCTCCACATTAACCTTTTCTACACTCTGAACATGGTTCCACATACCGTTCCGGCTGTAATGTCCATTCGGGTTCCTACCCACGCGCTGTGTATGTTCCGTTTCTACACTGTGCGTATTACTACGCCCTTCCCATGTATGTTCCCATTTGCTATGGGGACATTCCTTGCCAAGTGCATGAAGGCTGTGCTGATTAATCCTGTTACATATATTGGAATTACTTCTGTCCTCCATGTTGGGATGATTCACCCTTCTGACGTACGCATTGTTAAATTGGAAATCATTTTTTGCCGTGTTTTCTACGTAGTAGAATTTCCTGGGGACATCATCAATCTGGTTTCCCCTGTACTGTATGTTTTGGTCAATCCCAAATATGTTCTCTTTATAAGAAGAGTAATTTGTTGGGCCATTCGTTAAATTGATAATATTAGGTTCTCTCTTTTTTGTGGAGATTTGGTAATTTTGGTTGTCCTCCCCATGGAAGGGGGCCCCTGTAGTGGAGACCACTTCATCTAGCTGGTCATCCTCCAAAGGGGCACCACCCGTTTCGGACTCTCTACATCCCTTAAATAAAATAATCACCTGACTTTTCTTTAACAATAAAGTCCCACGTTGAATGGCGGGTTTATTATACAAAATAATTTTGGGGTACCTATAAGTACACTTTTCTAGGTAGTTAAAATTCTCGTTGTATTCCTTCTCATAAGCATAAATAAAATTATTCCCATCGAAGAGTAAAAAGCGAAAAATTCTTCTTTTTTCAGGATTCCACCTTTTCAGAAGGTAATTCTTGTCCATTTTATTTGATGTCTTTATTTTGCCTCCCTTTCCATTTTTCTTTTTCAATTTGTTAAATTGAGTGGTCTTGCTACCATCAGGGGCATCATCATATGGCGAGTTCCCAGAGTCCTCCGAGGCGTTGGGGGAGTCCTGCACTTCGTCATCTTCCCCTTCGTCCGCCTCATCCAACTTGTACAGCCGATCCCCCACATTGACATAATCGACAATTTCAAATATGTTTAATCCATCCAGCTGTTGGGGTTCTTTCCTCTGTCTGAACCCTTCTGGCAAGCACCCCCTGGATCCGGAATAAGTGAGCGGATTTACGATGAAGTGTTCGTACAGTTCTGTGTCCGTGGCATCCCTTTCACACCCCGTGTGTATTCTGTATTTATTTAAAAAGTTGTGGTAATTTATTTTTATAACATTCTTTTCGATTAATTTTTTCATTATTATGGTGATTCATTTTTTCATTTTTTCCCCCCGCAAAAAAAATAATTTCAGCTGAGAGCGTTATACGTGGTGATTAGTCCCAGTCCTGTGCACAACTGAAGTGTGTTTATTGTGACATTATGTTTATGTATAGTTGGAGGAGACGGCATATATCTAGGGTTAAAAAATATAAAAAAATTAAACAAGGATAAACAGAGGGTCAGATTCAAACTTGAATTTGTTCACTCTGCTCGGCTATGTTGTGTGTTTTCCTCCCTTTTTCCTGATTTCGCTTCCCCATTTTTTTTTTTTTTTTTTTTTTTTTTTCCTGTTCACCCGACATATCTGTACACCATGCCATGCCCCTCGGGCAGATTAAATACACATATTCTGCCACCCGTACGTATCTTGCTCCCTCGACGCCTACCTTTTAGCACGTTTTTCCAAAACAAATGCTTTCGCCCTTTTTATTTATATATGTCAATTTGCCAAGCAAAATGGCAAAAAGAGGAAAAAAAAAAAAAAAAAAAATTCACGCACACACCATCCGTGAGTTAATTCTTTTTTTTACGAAGCCGCAGCGTCACTGTGCTTGGTTAAATTAACATCATTTGGGACAGAAAAAAACTGATTGTCTCTTTTTTTCCCATGTGGTATTTCCGAAAGAGGGATGCAATGAAGGGGGACACAAATCAACAGCGCCAAATGTCATCCTCACGACCGGTTGCAGCAAACCTTCAAAGCAAATTTGCTCAGACAAAACACAGCATCGGTTTTAACGTCGAAGGGTTATACATAAAAACGCTTAAGCGTGAAGGTGAAAAACACGTTGCGGATTACTCACAGGACAAGGTTACAACAATTGCAGTTGCACCCGTCCTCGTAAAGCGTACTCCTCGAAATGCTTGCCGCAAATGAGTTAAAAAGGAAAAAAAAAAAAAAAGGGGAGCCACAAGATAAAGCCTCTTAGGGGAAGCAAAAAGGGGTTACACTTTGAAAATTTTTGACAGAATGGGAAAAGCATATAAAAAAAAAAAGCGAAAAAAAAAGAGGGAAAAACGCTCCGCTGCGCTATTTTTACACCTCGTACAAATCATCCTTCGTGTCGAATCCCAGACTCGGGGATTCCGGCAATCGCTTGGTCAAAATTTCGACGCCCGTTTCGGTAACTAACAAAGTGTGCTCAAATTGGGCCGATAATTTCCCATCAGAAGTGGCGCTGGTCCACTTGTCAGGCCACAAGACATCAGCGTAGTGGCCCTGATTGATCATCGGCTCAATAGTAAACACATGGCCAGCTTTCATAATCCCAACGGCTTTATTTTTTTTAAAATGAGGAACAGTTGGATTCGAATGAAACAATTTCCCAACCCCATGACCCGAATAAGTACGTACCACGGAAAAGCCCTTTTTGGATACATAGGCATCTATGATATTACCAATATTTTTATATAACATTCCTGGTTTGCATTTTTTTATCGACTCCATTAGGGAAAAGTAGCAGGTCTGTACGAGTTCCTTGGTCTCCTTTGGTACTTGTTCCATATCCCCAACAAAGAAGGTTTCATTCAGATCAGCGTGTACCCCTTTGAAAAAGACACTTACGTCGATGTTGATGATATCCCCATTTTGTAATGGTCTCAAATCCGGAATCCCATGACACACAATTTCGTTAACAGATGTACAACACGATTTGGGGAATTCATAATAATTTAAAGTTGATGGGTAGGCATTATTCTTTATAATAAAATTATGAACTTTTTTGTCAATCTCATCAGTTGTTACTCCTGGTGCTACTAACGAATGCGCATAGTCCAATGTCTTTCTCCCTAAAATGCATGCCTCCTTTATTATTTCAATTTCTTCTTGGCTATTCACATATATATCACTTTTCCTTTTATACAATAATTCCGATTCGGGGATGCCTGTTATTGCATAGTCTGGTCTTTTTATATGTGCTGGTACGGTATTCATTTCTGTTCTTGGCCAAGGTCTCAATTTTCCCGTAAATGAAAAATAAGCGAAAGGTTTCAAATGCGTGTCATAAATCCAATATTTTCTGTTTGTTGGATCGAAATTTTGTGGTGATAATTTTTTCTTTACGAGTTGCATGAACTTTTTTTTTTTTTCCTCTTCCTCCTTTTTCAATTTTTCATGCACTTTTTCCACATGTTCTTTCCACGAATTTTTGAAACATTCCTGTGTGCAAAAGTAGCTATGGATTTTTTTTTTTAGACATATTGGGCAGCTCAATTTTTTGGCTACCGTTTTCCCACATCCGTTGCATGTGTTTTCCTGTTCTGCTTTCTGTGTGATGGTGTCCTGGGCCTTGTCATCCCCTCCGTTTTCATTGTCTCTGTCCTCCACCTCGCACTCGCGTTTCTCATTTTCCATTGTTGCTCACACGTTTTGGGGCAACCACACGATTTAAACCTTTTTCGATTGTCACAATAAGTTACACCCTTTTGGATTCCCCCGAACGTATGCGGATATGTACCTCGCTTATACGTATATATTATGTGTTCAGTTTCTTCCCCCTTTGTACATTGCTGCTTTCGTTCTTCGTTTAATTGGCTCTGCAGGGGGTGGAGCTATTTTGCATCACCCCTGGGGCCAATTCCGATTATTACTATTATTAATATTATTTTTTGTTTTTGTTATTTTTCCCCAAGTCAGGGATCTATATTAGCGGGTAGCTGCGCGTTGACTTGGCTCGTCGCTTTCCACTTTGCTTCCAGGTGAACATCCAACCCCTTGCTTTCCAATCGAGATTCCCCTTTTTCTTTCAAATCGGAACGAGTCACATCGAACGCAACAAAAACATGTTGTAGGCTTGAAAGAAAAAAAAAATAAATAAATAAACGCAGAAGGGAGGGCCAATCCGTTCACAAAATTGGGAACTACCTCTCATACTTGGGCATAAAGCGAAAAAATCTCTAATGCGCAATTGCATGCAACATGACTGAAAGCTCCTTGATTAAAATCTGCTGCTTTTATTGCATTTGCCCAGTGCGTATATTGTGCCCGTTTTGCCAGCGGCAATATACAACCTGGAGCGGATGCACGTATGAACATATTCATGATGTATATACATAATATGGGCAATCCGATCGACCCTTTACGTGACTGCACTGCGACGGTGATTTTTTTTTTTTTTTTTTTTTTTTTTTTTTATTTGTTTAAAGTTTACTGTGACGGGTGACTTCAGTGTGTACTTAAATAGAAAGAGATATTTCACGTCTGGCAAGTTAACCACTACAAGTAAAACATACATATATGGTTTACTTATCTTTTTTTTTTTTTTTTTTTTTTTTTTTTGCAC